TCATGCTGCTGCCTCTGATAGCAGCAGCAGGGGGATGGAGGCTGGAGAAGGCAGTCGCCTCCTGCCTGCCCACCTCACTGCCTATGTGAGAGGCAGCAATGGGGGGGCAAGTGGCTCGCATGAGTTGCTACACGAGGGAAGCTGGTTTTCAAGTCAGCTCCCTGTGTCTATCAGCTCTCGCATGCCCCCCCTCACCCTCCACACTGCTGCCTCTGGGGATGGAGGGGGAAGACCAGCTCTGCAGAGCCACCTGTGCTTGTGGGGAGCCGGCTTAAAAACCAACTACCCCACTCTGATAGACAGAGCAAGGGACGGAGTGGGGGAGGGAGTGCATGTAGTTGATAAAAGAAACTGATAAACCTAGTGTTATAGGTTAATTGTGTAGTCGACTACACATTGATATCCCTACTGGCCAGACATCCAAAAAACAGAACACTGAACTGAATTTTTGTTTTCAGTTTAGTATATCAAAAGGCAATATTGTATTAAAGCAATTTTAGCCTTAGTTTTGCAGATTCAATATAGACTCTGCTTTTTAGTTAGGAAAAGCAAATCTTAAGCCATTCTTACAAACTTTACTTTCAAAATAAGAAGATATGGGTAGAATGGAATCATTTCAATCTGAGCATTTATTAAGCCTGGTTTTGTTACTGCCAAGAAAATAAATGCGCTTGTTTTACTTAAGTCAGAGTAATTTGCGAACAATAAGTGAGCTACTTACCAAAAATCCCTTTTCTTCCACAAAGGAGTCTACCTGACATTTTAGTTTTAGATATATATGGCCTTCTAAAGAAGACAGAAAGGGAACCTGCGGGAGAAAAAAAATAAGTTATTTAATTGATACAGGTCAACTTTTTTCCCTGTACAAATCTGCAACACCAAGAGATTAGCAAAGAATTTTTTTACATTTACATCTATCATTAGGGGCCAGAGACCCCTAAATACCAGGCCCAACAGCCACTTACTGTCAAAAGTGTCATTAATTTTTTAGACTTCACTTGTAAGGGCTTACCTACACAAGGAGCTCTTCCTGATTAACTATTCTTGATGAAGCTCCATGTGTGGATGCTCTTCACTACAATAAGAGTGCCATTTTCCAAAGATGAATCCACTCAAAGTCTGCACAAGGAGTTAAATCAGGAATAGTGACTCCACTTTAAATTCACATCCTATCTTTATATGAATTAGCTTCTCACTGTAGACAACCCTTCACATTTTAAGGTATGAGTGAAATGCTATTTGTATAGTCCTCTAGAAAGATTCATGTTAAAGGTTTGGCTATATAATCTATTGTCCTCAGAATTAGAAGACATTTAGATGACATCTACATTCTCCTGAGGGTAGGGGGATAGTTAACCTTATTTGTAAGCAAAGTAAAGTGGAAAACTTGTCCACAAGATAATATATCCACCCAGAATGCTTTTTAGCTAAACCTAAAACACTTGGTTAGAGTATTCGTTACAGTTGTTTCTGTCATGAGACAAGACAGAGGGTTTGTGTTAACCAATTTTGTGTAAATCTGCTAAAAACATTACTAAGATAGACTAGGGCATAAGTAGGTGAAAAAATTCATGCAAGTCTGAAGAACCATTCACATATAAATTCGGTCATAATCCCATATCACTATCAGGCTGCTCTATAACAAGCCAACTATTAAAACTCAATGTTTCCTTCTAGAAGCTGTTTCAGTAGAGAGAAAAAAAAAATCTTGCAATAAAGCTAGGAAGTTGACAAAATTTCATCAGGATTAGAATGATTTAGTAACTCAGAATCTAAGTACAGTAGAGTCTCGATTATCCGACATTCCGTGTTATCCGACATGCCTGTGGCTGCCCAAGACAATTGTGCAGGCAGTGGAGCCGACAGAGCGGAGTGCAGAAGAGAAGGTGCCGGGCATTGGGGAGACAAAGACGGTGAGAGAAGAGGGAGTAGAGAGCAGGGCCATGCGGCAGAATGCCAGAGCCCAGCTGCCCCCGCCCCTGAAGGTCGCAGGGTGCCCTGACCTCCCCCGGCCAGTCGTGCTGCCCCCGACCTCTCCCATCTCCCCCAGCCTGTCTCTCAGTCAGGCAGCGTGACTGGCCGGGAGAGAAAGGGGAGGTCCGGGGGCAGTGCGGCTCCCCACGAAGCAGCCGAGTGACTGCAGAGCAGCAGCTGACAGGGAAAAATACCTTGGCCCCTGCAAGGTATTTTCCATATTATCCGATATTTCGATTAGCCAACCATCCTTTGGTCCCATTTTGGTCAGATGATCGAGACTCTACTGTACATTATTTTGAAGCAGAATGTAGTGCTTACTAATGTTTATTTTTCACATTACTGATGAGATCCAATGTATCCATACAATATCTAAAAGCAAAAAGCGCCTGTGATTCCAACAGATACATTGGTGTGCTCACTACTATACAAGAATACTCCATTCTCCCAGAAATGACTTTGTGTATATCAAGTGAAGAGGCAAATAGAACCAATACCATCCATCACAGTTGACAGAAATTTAGTCAGTGACTTCCTTGGGAACAAGATCAGGCCCTCCATATTCACTGCTTGTAAGACATGTACAAAAATCAAGGAAAAAGCTTCCTAAATAAGAGGTTATAAAAACATGCTTTTATCCATAATCAGAAATGTAGAGCTCTTAGAATTCAAAAACTTGTTGATAGTCAGTAGATATAGTCAAAAATACATAAAGCACATCTGCAGTAGGGATATAAATACCTACTTAAAAAGTTAACTGGTTAAACTATATGTTTAACTGGTTTACCATGAAGGTCCATTCCTACCGGAGGGTATGGAGAAAGGAGGTTGGCTGCCTGCTTTGGCCCAGCCCTCTGGTTAACTAATCACCAGATAAGCAAGTTGGTAAGGCTATCGTTTACCAGGTAACCAGTTAAACTTTTATATCCCTAATCGGCAGAGGCACACAATCTGACAATTGTCTCGGATAAAGTGTGTGGTTTTACTCCTGCACTAGATACTTTAAGGAACAGTGAAATCTTGGCAAAAAGTATCAAAGACTTTCAGGCCCAGAGAGCCCAAACAGGCAATTGTGGAGGGTTCTGTCACTGGTGGCTCAGGGAGTAGTAAGATTTCCTGTGGTGCCAAGATGACAACTTGTGCCCACTATACGCCAATCTGTAGGAGTCAGACTGACTCCAATTGAGTACGAAGACCACAGGGGACCTACATCTCTGACATCAATCTTAGAGGTGGGAGAACTGCTGTGGTCCCTGGAAGGACAGAAATAGGGTAACATGGATGCCACTATTGCTGGTTTCCCTTTGAAGTGCACCGGCAGTCTCATCGGGGGCTGCAGTGCTGATACAACCTCCTGTCTACATGGAGAAGCCAGTGCCAGAAAGCACATCAAGTGCTTCCAGCAGCGAGGGCATAGGTAAGTGTCCTGATGGCACCAGTGAACTAGGTTAGCTGGGACTCGACAGGCATTGTGGCCCAACTGTGGTATCTGTGCTGGTCTGAGAACTGTGAAGCTGAAGATCAGCCCCGTCCCTCCTTTTCTTTTAGCTAGGCGACTGGAAGAGATGCTGAGGGCCAGCACAGTCCTGAGTAGCAGCATGCCAGTGCCGGTCTCTGCCAGAGTCCTTCTCTCAGTGCTCCAGACAAAGTTTCAAGATCAGTACCAGAGTACTGAAACACAGATTTCGAAACACAGATTATCTAAATGGATTTCAGGCTGTATATGCCTAGCCTATACTATATTTCAAAAGGAGCCCCAGTCCAACATATGGGCCCACTCCACAAAAGCAATGGCAGCATCAACGGGCATTCCTCCAGAGCATATCGATAGAGGGAATGGTACTCTGGTCAAAGTCTAAGTAGGCACTGGATCTACAGTGCCTGAATCTGATTGCAGTTTCAAAGCCATTTCCATCAGCAAAATTCTGCAATGGGGGCACTGATCCATCCAGTGCTCCTCACCCAAGCAGTAGGCACACTCAGATGTGGGAATGGATAGCCTGCAGCTCACTGGTTAAATCCTGGTGAGCCAGGTTTGTCCCAGTAAGAGAACCATTTTAGGCGGTTTCTGCCAAGTGGCACCACAAGTGAACTATCTGTACTAAAGTCTACTGTAACCAGGAAAAAACAAACAAAAAAAATTGTTTTAGTCTAACACTATAGAACAACAAGCAAGCGTAATAATAATGCTAAAGTATTAACTATTAACTCTATCTATTCCTAGCTTAGAGTGAGGTCTACTATTAAACTGAAGCTGGTGACAAAGACAGAACTGAACAGACAGTTGGCTGCGCAAGCGGGATAGCTGTTTCAAATGTCGCATAGCAGCATTCTGCGTGTGCATCTGACAGTGGGCACTACTACCTAGAGCAGGGGTGTCCAAACTTTTTTCAAAGAGGGCCAGATTTGATGAAGTAAACATGCGTGAGGGCCGACCATTTTGCCTGACATTCTTTGAACCATTAAAATTAAATGCAAATTAACTATTTTATGCAAAGTTTATTGCAAACGGCAAACGACATAACACCAACTATACATGTTGTGTCCAAATATATTTATAACTGATTTAGACCAACTGACATTAACTGAGATTTTACAATGTAGTCATCTCAATTGAAAAAAAAACTTGCCTACACTAATGTGAAGGGTGAAACTGAGATCTGGACTGCAGTACATAGGCTAGGTCTGGTTCAAAGGCAGTGGTTTTGATGCGCAAAATGTCACGCAGGTGAGAGTCACTTAGTCTTGTCCTCACGCGGTTCTTGTTAAAGTTCATAGCAGAGAATGTCTTCTCACACATATATGTTGAGCCAAACAAGCTCAGCATTTTCTTAGCCAATGTTCGAATCTCTTGAAACCGGCTCTTATCCAGTTGGCGGTAAAAGTTCACAAGAGAGAGCTGTTGGTGACGACTGCGTAACTCGCTGTCACAATGCAGCTCAATGAGCTCGAGCTGCAGCTGATCTGGAGCATCCTCGGGGTCAACAGAGAATGGAGAGGAGAAAAGGCTGATCTCCTTTTCAATAGCTGCAAAGTCCTGAAAGCGCCGTTTAAACTCCCCAGCCAGAGATGCAATGTCTGCTGCATACCTGCTCGTTTGCGCACTGATATTGTCCTGTGGAAAACTGTTCATTATTTCCTGCAACGCTGAAAAATGTATGGTATTGGGCTGTGTTTGTGACAACTGCCTTATGAAAAGTTGCAGCTTTGTCCCAAAGGCTTTGAGGTGTGAATAAAGCTGGTTCACCGCTGCATCTTTCCCCTGAAGACTCGTGTTCAGTACATTCAGATGCTTTGTTATGTCAACTAGAAACCCCAAATCAGCCAGCCAAATAGGATCAGATAGTTCTCGCATTGGTTGTCCCTTTGTTTCCAAGAATTCTCCGATTTCCTTTCTGAGAGAGTAGAAACGCTGCAGTGCAGACCCCCGACTGAGCCATCTTACATCGTTGTGATATAAAACATCTTCGTATTCAGCCTGGATGTCCAGTAGAAACTGTTTAAACTGGCGGTGGCACAGGGCTTTAGAGCGAATAAAATTAATAGTCTTTAGCACCGGTTTCATAACATGATCATATTTGAGATGTTTAGCACAGAGAACTTGTTGATGAATGATACAATGGAGTTTAATAGCTTTGCCTCCTTCTTCGATCACCTTGTTACAGATTAGGGTTGATAATCCACTTCGTTCACCAACCATGGCAGGTGCCCCATCAGTAATAATCCCAGTAACTTTGTTCCAAGGCAGTTTCATGTCATCTATGGCGGAACTAACAGAAACAAATAAATCTTTTCCTCTTGTTTGGTCCGTAAGGCTCTGGAGGTCAAGTAGCTCTTCAGTCACATTCATTTCATCGTCCACCCCTCTCATAAAAATCAGCAACTGAGCTGTGTCAGATAGGTCCGTGCTTTCATCACAGGCTATTGAAAAGAAGTCAAAATCCACTCCTTTGGATGTCAACTGTCTCTTAATATCTGATGAAATCTCTTCAATTCTCCGTGCTACAGTGTTACGAGCCAGGCAAATGTTGGCAAACTCTTGCTTCTTCTCGGGACAGATATTCTCAACCATTTTCATAACGCATTCTTTGATAAAGTCACCCTCAGCAAAAGATTTGCAATTTTTAGCAATTAACGTTGCCACCTCATAGCTCGCCCTTGTGGCATTTTCATTTGACTCACGGGCTCTTATGAAAAATTTCTGTTGTGACATTAAAACAGCTTCAAGTTGCTTCAACTTTTCACTGCGGTCGTGCCCTGTAAGCTTGTCGTATGTGCTATGTCTCGACTGGTAGTGTCTCTTGACATTAAATTCCTTATAAACAGCCACAGTCTCTTGGCATATCAGACAAACACAGTGATTCTCTATTTCAGTGAAGAAATATTCCACTTTCCACCTGTCCTGGAAGCGGCGGCCCTCACTGTCAACTTTCCTTCTCTTATTTACAGTCGCCATTTTTTTAAATTGACCAGAAGGGGAAGGGATCATGTGAGCGCAGTGCCAGAGGTTTAATACACTGCCCAAGTAATACACTGCACTAATACACTGCCCAACAAGAATTCTCTTGCCTTTGTGGCTGTTTGTGGCGAAGTCTCTAATGATGAGCTCCACGTGCCTGAGCCCGCCAGGAAGCTGACAGTGCGCAGGGCCAATCGCAGATACTGAGCTTGAGCAGCTGCGGAGTCCATCCCTGATCTCAGCAGCTGCGGAGTCCGTCCCTGATCTCAGCAGCTGCGGAGTCCGTCCCTGCACTCTCAGCCCCAAGGGAGAGGGCTTGCAGGGGCAGAGGCGGCCCGAAGCGGCGCGCTGAGCGCGCCAGTTAAAAAAAGCACCGGGGAGCCGGGAGAAGCGGGGGGCCGTATTAAATCCGACCGCGGGCCGCATTTGGCCCGCGGGCCGGACTTTGGACATGCCTGACCTAGAGTCTCCAAGCAGAGGCACAGCGGTGCTCAAGCAGCTAAGGTGGAGCACCTACAGGGACACTCCTCAAAAGAAGAATGAAGCATACCCCAGAATCAACATTAACAAGACTGGGACATGTACCTAACAACTTTTCCTAACAAAGCAAACTAAACTGTGAACTAACTGCTAAACTATATGAAAAGACTGAGAAAATTGCTAGAACATTTGTGAGGCAAGTGATGAGCAAGGGGAAGTCTCAGCTACCATCACTGGCAGTAAGAAGGAACTGAGGAGGGGGGAGGATCAGCAGGGCACTATAATGGGCACCATAATGGCACCACTCCAGGGAGGTCCCAGACAAACACAATGGCTAGCTGCTAGGAGAAAATCTTTTGGTTACTGTGCATGTATACATGCACACATCTGTCTGGAACACAAATGAACAAGTACTCTAAGCAGCAGCAAAAATGCTAGATTTTTTTTGTTTACAGCAGAGGTCCCAGGAATCCACGGTTTACTGTGTGCCAGGAAATGGTTATTTATATTCAGATTACAGTAAAATTGTGTGTGTGCAGGAGGGTTCTTCAAGAACTCCTCTTGTGTGGGAAAATTATGCTTCACTTGACAAAGTCTTCCTCGGTTTAAGTTTCCTTGAAGGACAGATTTGCTGGACAACTTGAGAAAACTCTAGTCCGTGACCTTTGGTTTTTCTAGGTTGCGCCTACCATTAACATGGATAGAATTGGAGCTGCTCGGTAGTTCATGAATGTTGAATTTCAACATGAGTACTGGAATCTTGGCTGTAGGAATACAGTGTTTTCTACTGAACTAAACAGAGCAAAAAAAATGAAGGGGAGGGGACAAAGTGTGGTTCAAGATAAGTCACTTCTTCACAAATACCTGAGGGCTCAGACTATGCCAGACAGGAAGAGATCCCCTTGCCCCCATACTTCAAAAGACTAGGATGTAAGCACCTGCTGAGGTTTCTGAAGTTAGGCCTGCTTTTAAGAAAGACTGTTTAACATTAGAAGAAAAATATTTTGTGGAGTGTTGTTTTTTTAAGGCCTTAAAAAAAATGCAACCTGGTCATTACACTCACTCACTCTACAATTTTTGGGATGCTAAATAACTTCAGATCCCTATTTTAAAAGCACAATAGTTAGAATTATCCCTTTGATGGAACTGTGTGGAAAAAAATGAAGCAGGGTAACTTTACAGCACTAGTCTGCAAGTTTTTAAAATTTGGTGGCATTTAAATTTCAATTCTACAGCAAGCTGGGAAGTCTACAAGTATAGACTATCACTGCACAGACTTTGTAAATGACCCAGTTGTACTATATTGCACTTGTCAGTTTGCTAAGTCTATAGAGGAACCTTGTATATGACCCAGAAAAATTTCAATTTCCAACTACTTCCGAAGCTCAGGAGCAACAGACACGAGCAACATACACTAGGAAAATAGTGTCTTAAGCAAATAAACATAGCAACCTTGTCCTGGAACATAAAGTCCAGTAGTTCTCTTTCCTTCCCTCCATAATTTATCTAAGGAAAAAAAGAAATATGCTGAATGTGAAATTTAGGTTTTTTTTTTTTTAAAGCAGCATAAAAACTACATTTGAGTATGTTTCACTCCTTTCTTCCTTCAGTCTTTCATTGGAAGTTAAGGGTAGAGACATTTATAACACCACCGTGGTGGTCATGGAAGCCCCCCTGGGGCAAAATTTAAAAAATCGTTTAGCATAGTTAAGGAACACAACATAGCTGAAGTTTAAAAAAAAAAAGCTAGTAAGTAGTGTCCGATTTCCACTATACCTCTAGAATTACATTTATGATATAGAGAAATTAACTTTAAAATGATAATTCTAGAAGGATTTCCAGGGGGAAAAAAAAAAATCTGTATTTCTCAGTGTGGCCCATACACTCAACCACTATCTAATGAACATCATGGCTTCTTTAAATTATATAAAAAAAATTTTTATGGGAAAAATGAAACTCAAACACGAAGAACCAAGCATTTAAAGTAAAAAACCCACTACTTCCCCAAGAATCAAGACTCCAGTAACAAATAAAGTGCTGCTTAATTCAAGAACAAATCCCACAAGAGATCCAGGTCAAAAAGGGAAATAAACAAAAAAGAAAAAGAGTTGAAGAAATCAGAGTGTTGGCAGCTGGAGCTTTGTTTGCAAATCCCTAGTTGTGGGATATAAAGATAGCTTACTATAAAAGTGAATTCCACTAAGTCCAATCCTTCTCAACCACACTTTAGTATGACACTTCAAGGTTTATTGGTGTTCATGAAGTAACAAGAGTTATTTTTATATCTGTGCAAATTACTAAATTAGAACAGATGTTGGCATACAGTAATAAAATTGTTAAACAGGTATTTAAATTATAAAGGATCTGCTTCTTTGTTACGCAGTTAATGTTTACAAATTCTAGGGTTACACATTTATGTAGAATATAACTATGACAGCCATATTTACACATGAGTTCTACTGACAGTTCGATTAAAAAACCACCACCATCGTGGATGTGAACCAAAGTTTTAATTGGTTACTATATTAAAATCTGCACAAGATAAACAGAGTCAGCTGTATTAGGTATGTGGTAAGAATGGTTTTTTGGGAGGGATGGTTGTGTTTGTTTTGTGAAATTTAGTGCAAATTCAGATAAGTTACCAATTACTGGCAGAAGACTCATTAAATGGCTTATTTCTTGGGTCATAGCATACATTAAGATTAATTTATAAACAGCCACTTCTAAAACAGATCTGTATGAATGAGTTTACTTCTGATAAATTTCATTGATCTGGAATGGATATCAACGTATCTTACATTTAGCTACAGTAACAGTGGTTCCCCATGACAAAATTACATTTTTTGGTACTGCAAATGTGTACTTCAGCCCCTTTAAAAAAAAGTCAATAGGTGATAATGTCTGAAGATATTTAAATGGTTTTATTTTTAAGGTGGTAACATTGCCTAGAAACATTAGGTTAGGTAAAATTCTATATTTTCATTAGTAACATATGGATATTTTTGAGAAAAAAAAAAAAAGGTAGTAAGAAATAGGTTCCATTACCTTGTCCAAAGTAAATTTGGAGTTCCCAAGTGAAAGCAGTGAAATCTTGTGAGATCCAACAAGTACAAAGTTACTAGTGCGCACAGCATTGGGGCCACTTGGACTAGCCATGACTGATGGGTAGAGAGAAGAGAACGAGTTAAGATTTCACTTCATGTAATTTTGTGTGTGTGATATTTTGCTGGGCTCATAGTATTGTAGTGTAAAGCAGAAGACAAAGATTAGAAAGGAAAGGATGATTTTTCTGCTATTAACTTCTCCCTTCATTCTGCATGAATGGGCCTTGCAAGCCATTGTGGAAAGCAGAGACATAGGGCATTTATACAGAGTTGGGGAGAAGCCATACAGTAAAACGACTTCCTCAAAACTCAGGAATACAGACATGTGAGAAAGGCCAATGAAATGCACACTGATCCTGTAAAATCTATTCTTATAATTGATTCTCAGAGTTAGTCTATTGCAAAATTATGTTATGCAATATTGCATCTACTGAGAGCAATAGTGCCCAATATATGAATTAAAAATTCACTATAACCTCCATACTCTGGATTTCCCTAATACAGGAACACCCATTATATGGACCCTGGCACGTGAGGAAGTAGCATCTTTGCGTATTTGCACTCCCCTATCCCCCAGCTGGAAGAATGGCAGCGCAGTGACAGTCTGCCAGAGGCTTTTCCCCACTGCTCCTATAGCAATCCGAGTAAGGGAGGAAGGATGTGCCCAGGAGCAGCAGTGGATACCAGATAAACACCATTCTCCTCCCCTCCCTGGGCTGGCAAAAATCTTTAATCTGTCAAATCCTGTTTCCCAGGTTTGCCAGATTAAAGAGGTTCAAGTGTACCATGATAATCCATTGGCTGTTGGTTTACTTACACATCATTCCTTACCTGGAAACGTATGTTAGCTATAGATATTGGATGCCAGGATGGCATTATACAGTAAAACTCAGCTACTTACAACAATACTTTACATATAAACCTGGGCCATATTCTCAGCTGATGTAAACTGACATAGCTCCATGACTCACACCAATAGAGAATTTAGTTTGAGTTTAAAATACAAGTCAATCCTGTTGAGAGATTATTGCTTTGCTAAATAACCCCTAGGTATAAGAAGTTAAAGATATCCCCTTAGTACAAGAAGTTTAGATTTTGCTTACCTGGGGTAAGAAGGGTGCTTTTCTGCAAAGAGACAAAGATTCACCAGGGAAAGAAAACGGGGGAGAAAAACTGATTTTAGAAGCTGTCTTTACATAAAATTAAGATTAACCTTAAATTAGGCACCACACTTGAAATTCTAGAGCTCTTAATGAAGAAGGATATGCACCAATTTTATCCTTTTATGTATTTAGAACGGTCAGCTAGCAAACGGCTATATGCAGAAAAGGGTTGGTAGAAAGTAGTTTTGAATTTTAAGTGATAGACGATATTAACTGTTTGAATTGGGGAAATAATGTTGCTGAGCAAGTGTGAACAGGGCCTTGAATAATGGCAATTTAAATGTCGCAGAAGTCAGAGTATTACACTAGTACTTACAGTAGTAATAGATGTCAATAATCTCTTTGGAGTAATAACCTATGAAAAATAAAAACAGTATGAAGGCCAAGACTGCACTTTGTTGTTAAAACAAAAATAGTTTTAATATATGATAAAAATGCCATTCAAGTTTTGTAGTGTAAAACAATTCTGACTAGCAATTAATTCTTGTCCTCACATAAACAGGTTTGTTTTCCTATACTAAAAGGCCCAAGGTTGAATACTGAACTGTGTCATAAAGTACACAGAAGAGAAAACATATACAGTAAACTTCCGATAATCCAGCACCTTTAGGATCCAGGGGGTGCTGGATTATCAGATATGCCGGACTATCTGAAGGGGGGGCTATGAGGGGTCTGGGGTGGGGTGGATGCCACCCCAGACCCCTCATAGCCCCCCCCTTCCGATAGTCCGGCTCTGCCCCAGGCGTCCCTCATTCAGCCGCTG